ATATAATATAATATAATATAATATAATATAATATAATATAATATAATTGCACAACTCAGAAATATGCAGCTTAAAAGAGGCACAAAGGAGACTGGTTTTTGGTTGGAGCAATGTTTCAGCCACAGTGAGGCTTTTTTTGTTTTGGCAACCTTAGTCTACACTCGTGGGCCTTAAACTTGGCAACTTCAAGAAACTTCAGTTTCCAGAATTCCCCATTCTGGCTAGGGAATTCTAGAAGTTGAGGTCCACAAGCCTTAAAATTGCTAAGGTTGGGAAACACTGCCAATGAGTAAAGATGGAAGAGATTGAGAAGTACCAGGCAAAGATGGGGAAGAACTTGGGTTAGTTATAGTAAAAGCTCCCTCAAGCTGATCTTCTGGTAATGATGCGGATATGGTCTTTCCATTTTCGTGGCAACAAGACAGAAATGCATTACTGTTACATTCCTCCGGTGTTTTTCTAAGCGTTCCAATATAGCATATATTCTAGTGGAGGTTTTTTTTTTGTAGTCTTCCATGCAAGCACTGGGCAGATCCGACCTTGCTGAACTTTTGCAAGAACAGCCAAGGTCACCTAGAGCAGGGCTCTCCAACCTTGGCAACTTTAAGACTTGTGGATTTCAACTCCCCAAATTCCTCAGCCAGCTTCAGGGAGTTGAAGTCCACAAGTGTTAAAGTTGCCAAGGTTGGAGACCCCTGACCTAGAGGCTGCCATTTGCTGTAACATGTGGAAAGAAAGAAAATATTTTGTGCTCTAGCCTCAGCTGATGGGTTAGCAACATTTATTTACCTATGTTTTCTTTCTTTGCCCCCCCCCCCCAAGGCCTTTGTGCTATTCAGATTCCAATTACAAAGCAGAAAAAATATTTTGACAAAATATATTCCAGAATATCCAGGCTATATATTGGGAAGAATCCACTGATAATGACCTGGGAATAAATTCTCTACTGCTTCTGAAGTTATTGTTCAATCCCTAGGAGAATACATGGGTTTATATCACACAATAACCTATTCAACCATTGTTTGTTGAATAAAGCTTAAGAAACTATAGTGGATTGTGTGCTGAGCCAAAAACAAATAAAATGCAATGGGTTTTAGCAATGGAGATGTCCTAAATGAGAACTAGTCTACAGGTTTGACAATGAGAAATAAACTGGTCATGGAGTTGGATAAAATTGTGTAGCCGAGTGCCCAGATTGCTATTATTTCACCTAACAAAAGCATTACCTACGTATCTCCAGATTTAGATTATTTTTCTTATTAGCATATCTATTGCTTTCGGCCAGGAGATCAGTTTTTCATGTTTAGTGTTTAAAGCGAAATTGAATTGCAAACTAGCCGTTAACTTGAATGCTGTAAATAAAATGGATGGACTTGTCACTCAAGGGCCTATACGAACCAGAAAAATTGCAAGTACTCTTTTAATTCGCCATTTACAACTATATTGTGTTTCAAAGGCAGATTCTCCGGAGTGCAGGGGATACAGCTGGATTAATACTTTTATTGTCCTCTGTAAATCCACCCGGAGATAACCAAGGCATGCAGTGAAGTGTCAGGAAATTACTCGCATCTCTATCATTTTAAAAAAGAGTCTAAATTTGAGAGGAGTGATTTTAAAAAAAACAAAAAACGAAGGTGGATTAGATTCAAGGTCAAATTCAAAGTGCGGGTGAGTAAAGCTGTTAAAGAGAGGAAGGATCGATAAACTAGAGTTACAAAGCACCACCAAAAGCAGGTAATATGCTTCCTGGTGGAACAGCCAAGGTCAGGTTTAGTACAGTAGATACAGATGAATCGTTCCACCATCCCTCATCCCGGTTCAGTGTATCACAAGGTTAATCATGGCATACATTTTTTTCTACACTAATCATCTTACCAGGAGCCTGGCTATGATAAAGTACAGTAAATTCTTATTAGTGCCTTGTGCAGACCCAAATCCTCCTCCTGTATCTTATTACTCTGAGCTGCTTCTCCTCTCCCCTTAATATCTAAATGTTCTGTCAATCTTGGTAGCTCCCTGATACTTATAAGCCAGTATGTTTGATAAATGTTTAATTTGCATATTTCATTACTTGTACATGGTTTGCCAATTTACTTCTACGCAGACCAGTGTGTTCACATTCAAGGTTTTAGGGTTTAGAGCTTGACTGATGCATACGTGATTATCTGTACCAATGTATCAAAATTTAAATGCTCTATATCTCTATATCTATCTATCTGTCTGTCTGTCTGTCTGTCTNCTGGTGGAACCTCTTCTAACCGGTTCGGTAGATTTGACGAACCGGTTCTACCGAATAGGTGCGAACTGGTAGGAACCCACCTCTGATACAGTTGTTAAATGGATCTGGCTCCCCCACTGACTTTGCTTGTTGGAAGGTCGCAAAAGGGGATCGCATAACCCCAGGATACGGCAACCATCATAAATATGAGTCAGTGGCCGAGCACATGAATTTTGATCATGTGACCATGGGGCTGCTACAACAGTCGTAAGTGTGAAACATGTTTGTAAGTCACTTTTTTCAGTGCCGTTGTAACTTTGAGCAGTTACTAAATGAAGTTGAGCTCTTGTAAGTTGAGAAGTACCTGCATTGAGAAACTATTGTTCAGGCTAATCATGTCAGTCTGCTGAACTTTTGAAATTTTAGCTTTTGCATGGAGAAGTGGAAATATGCTAAATTACAAGAAATGGAGCTCAATGCAGATAGACAACTGATAATAATTAACCAAAACATATGTTTCCGATTGGACCCGGTTCCCAAGAATCACAATTGTCAAATGATTGTAAGTCGAGGTCTACCTGTACGGTAGAGATTACTTCAAAACTTTCCATCATATCTTATACCGCTTGTGTTACAGGAGTGAATTCATTGGTGCCTGTTGATAAGAATAGAATATAACGTATTTTTCAGTGTATAAGATGCACCAGAGTATAAGACGCACCAAGATTTTGAAACGGTAAACTAAAAAAAAAAAAGGTTTTACACTCTGCAGGCCTCCCAAACCCTCTGCACACCTCGGTTTTTGAGAGGCCTGCCAAGTGCTCCTGTGGTGGGCAAAAACGAGCGAAAAACGGGCCGTTTTTTGCTCGTTTTTGCCCTCTCCAGCCCCAAGAGACTTTGCAGACCTCCCAAACCCTCTGCAGGTCCGTTTTTGCGAAAGGGGCAGGGTTTCGGGAGGCCAAAATGCTGTATTCAGTGTATAAGATGCACACAGATTTTCACCCTCTTTTTTGGGGGAAAAAAGGTGAGTTTTATTCTCTGAAAAATATGGTAAATAGCTTTCTTTTTCTTCTTAGTTTGCATTCTTAGCTTGTCAGTTTAATTTTGTTTAATAACTTTCTTTTTTAAGATCAAAGATTGTTTTGTACAAAACTAATGTAAAAAAGAAGACGGTACCTTTGGTTAAAGCAGGGGTGTCAAACTTGATTTCACTGAGGGGGCGCATCAGGGTTGTGTGTGACCTCTTGGGTCTGGTGTGGGTGAGGCCATGGTGACATGGCCAGCTCAATGTCACTTGTGCCGGGGGTGCCTATGATGACTTGAGCAGTCTGCTAGCGAAAAATGGGTTCCTGAGCACTGTTTCGCATGCCACAACCTCCTTGCCAGTGAAATCGGAGCTCCGGAGGGCTCCCTGTGGCACTCGTGAACTCTGTTTTTGCTGGCAGAAGCACCGCAGGCCGATCCTTCTCTGTTTACGGAGTGGCCCCGTGGGCCAGATTTAAGCACCCTGTGGGCCGGATATGGCCTTGAGTTTGACACCCCTGGGTTAAAAAAGCTTCAGGAGCTGACTTCTTCAAAACCTATTTCTGATTTGTGCAGGCTGGTTCAAAACGTTGCTGCAGAAACCCAGGAAGAGGCCGGGTGCCTCAAATGGTACCCCTGGGTGTCCTCTTTCCTCCCCTTCACCTCCCGTGCAGAGAAGTCCCAGCACACTTCCTCGTAGCTTGACCGGCAGCCCCAAACTGGGCTGCTCCATCGCCCGGATTGTAAGCCATTCCGATAGCGCCCGATGGAGCAAGTTATACGATGTCTGCATTTGCCACAGCGAGGGGGACCTTGAGTTTGTGGAAGCGCTGGTGGCCTACTTGGAGAGCCAGCCCGAGCATTTCCGTTGCTTTCTTCAGCTGCGGGACGCTGTTCCAGGCGGGGCTGTTGTGACGGAGCTGTGCAACGCCGTCCAGAACAGCCACTGTTGGGTGCTGTTGATCACACCCAACTTCCTTAAGGATCCTTGGTGTTGCTACCAGATGCACCATGCCTTGACAGAGGCTCCCATGGCGAACGGGCGTACCATTCCTGTGCTGAAGGATATAGACCGCACCGACTACCCCAGGGAACTCCGATGCATTTACTACATCAGCGTGGTGCTCCAGGAGAACAGTTTCCGACAGATCAAAGAGACGATACTGCGTTGTAAGTGAGAAACTTGTCTTTAGAACAGGGGTGGGCAATTCCTTTTCCCAAGGGGCCACTTGGGAGAACCTGTGAAGGTGTGTAGGCACGCATGGAAATCGGGGGGGGGGGGGGGGG